GACATTTTGATAAAATCCCTCAGATTCTGTTTATCCTAGAATGTTTTGATCACACCATCATATTTGATTGATACTTTTGCTAGATAGACGATTCTTGGTTGACAGTTTGTTTTTTTTGTTTTTTTGCAGGGTTTTGTATATGTCTCCCCATTGCCTTCTTGCCTGCTTGGTTTGTTCTGAGTAGTCAGCACTTAATCTAATTTGCTTGCCTTTGTAAGTTATACTTCCCTTGTCTTTGATTTTGGAAAGTCTGATTATTATATATTTTGGAGACTTTCTTTTGGGGTCTATCCTTCTTGGGGTGTACGTAGGGCTTCTTGGATGTTTATCTTCTCGTCTTTCAAGATATTAGGGAAGTTTTCTTCCAGAAGCTCTTCAACTATCTCCTCTGTGGATTTCTTTGATTCTTCTTGTTCCGGAATGCCAGTAATTCTTACATTATTCCTCTTCGTGTTATCCAACATGCATCTTAGACTCTCTTCGGATTGTTTTATCCTTTTAGCTGCTTGCTCTTCTATCTTGGTAGTATTGAGAGATTTGTCTTCCAGTTCGCTAGTTATGGCTTCCATCTCTTCTAGTCTGCTCCGTTCCCCTTTCAGCCTATTGTCTATTTCTGATATCTTGTTATTGATCACCTGGACATCTTTTTGCAGGTTTTGAATTGTTTCCAGTGCTGTGTCAATCCTATTAGATTGTTCCTGCAGCACTTTCCTTACTTCTTCCTTATTTTCCTTGACCCCTTTTCAGAGTATTTGAATTTGTTTCTATATCAGTCTTCTGAATTCCCTCTCAGGCATATCTAGAACCCGCTCCTCCTCCTCTATGAAGCTTTTGTCTGTCTCCAGCTCATTTGCATCTGTTGCTCTCTTCTGCTTTTGGACGTGTTTCAATGATGTTAATTGTTTCTTATTGGTCATGATTATACTTATTTTATTATAATTATTAGTAATATGATCAGGAGATAGGCAGCGAGCGGGTTGGGCCTCAGGTGTGCCTGGGCCTCAGGCAGGCGGATTGGCTGGGCCTCGGGTTGTCGGTTTGGGCCTCAGGGCCTGGGTGTCAGCGGCCAGGCTTCAGGCGGGTTGGGCCTTGGTGACAAGGTTGCAGGTGGGCGATTTGGGCCTCGGTTGGGCCTTGCGGTGGGTGGGTGGGCCTTGGTTGGACCTGGGCCTCTAAGGGCGGGTTGTGGGCAGGTTGGGCCTCGGGGCGTGTCTAGGCCTTGGGAGGGCCTTGGCCTCGGTGGGTGGGCCTGTGCCAGGAGCTGGCCTGGGCATCGGTGGGTAGGCTTGGGCCTTGGGCGGGCCTGAGCCTCGGAGGCTGGGCAGAGGGCTAGCCTAGGCCAAGGCAGTGGAGGACGGGGGGGAGGGGTAGTGGCTGTGGGCAGGTGGCGTCTGAGTCTGATGACGTCAAATATGCCTCTCTCTGTCTCTCTGTACCGTGGGTTCCCTGAATTGCCTGATATCTGCGCTGATATCCCTTACTATAGCAAGGAGACCCCTTTGCGAAGGGCTATGTCGGCTCCTGCGGCTTTGTTCGGCTCTGTTCATTTATGCTTCCTCTCCTCTGGAAGCGCCTCTTTCTGAACAGGCTTGCTCCAGCCCCACACTCTAAGCTCTGCAGGGAGCGGAGGCAGTTGCTGGAGCAGAAGCCAAGTGCAGGCAGGCGAAAGCTCAAAATGCCTGTAATTCCTCAGCAATTTGATCTTTTAAAAAAGCAAGTTCAGAATGTTAAAACATAAGGTCTTATGTTTTGCTCAAAGGCTGTCTGTCTGCTAGACGGAGGTTTCCTTTGTGCGATACCACCCTTTTTTCCCCGGGAGCCTGTCCTACCTGTGCTGCCTGGTCAGGGAAGCGCTGGAAGTCCCCCAGTTCTTCATTTTTTTAAAGCATTAATTTAAAAACTGCTCAGAAAGTTCCCAGTCAACAACAAACTATAGTTTGCTTCCAGGAACTCAATGTCTCACCTTACTCTTCTGTTTTGAATATGTTCATGTTACCCAAATTGCTCTTTGTCCCTGTTCAGAAGCTAATACAACTTTCAGGGTCTGTTTTTTTCTTTTCATAACCACTGACCACAGGCCTGCTCTGCTCACAGCTCGCTGGCTCCCAGTTTGCCTTCCAGTACAGATTCTGCTTAGCAGAACTTTTTTGCTTAAACATTTGAATGACTTCTAGTGCTTTGAAATAAACTTTTTAAAAAATGAACAAGTTATAAATACAGAAGTAACAGCAATTGACCAAAACCTAACAAGGATCCCTCAAATTTTTCATATTCAGACAATATATAGATTTTAGTTCTATCTTCCTGTAAGTTGATCGAAACAATTGTGGGGGAAATGACTCTCAAACTGTTTGCATCTTTGTATGTGTTTATTACTTGAGGTAGTAAAGTTTATTTTCATTAACAAACAAAAAAAAAACTCAGTCTAAAATAAATTTATACTTGGTAAATAAACCAATTAATTAGAATTGATTAGTCAAGCTACCTTTGCCACTGGATCATGTTGAAGATAAAATGCCAAATTCATTCCATAACTGTCATTCATTATTACCTCTATCTGTTCGTACATTTTTTCTTGAAACTGAGTAACTTTCTTCAAACTGGATATCATAAACTGATTAGGGCTAAAGGTGTTCTTGGCAGCAGTAACACCTAGATCTGTCTTCTTGGGATGACCTTAATTGAATTCTGCATATTCAGAGCAGTATTAGAATTGACTCTCTTAATTATGTGGTGCACATAGTTTAGAAGGCCAGAAGTCTGGATTCAGGGTGTCAGCTTGAGGGTAAGGCTTTGTTTCTCTCAGCTCTGTGGGAAGGTCCTTGTTCCTGGCTCCTTAGTGTTTTTCATATGAAATGGTATCTATCTTCCCTCATCTCTGTTCTGCTTACTTAGTTTTATTTCTTTTATATCCCAAAAGAGATTGACTCATCATATACCCCATACTGATTTTGTGTCATTAACATAAAAAAAGACAACCCATTTCCAGATCAGTTTCTAACCAAAGGCATGTTGTTATTGTTAAGTGCTATCAAGTTGGTTCCAACTCATAGTGACCCAGTATAGAGTTTCCAAGAGTGTCTGGTGTGTTTGAACCACCAGCTTTGTAATTAGCAGCCCAGTGCTTATCCTACAATGCCATACCAGGACTCCACCACAGGTATCATTGTTGTTGCTAAGTGCCATTGAGCCAGTTTCAACTCATAACGACCCTGTATAGGGTCTCCAAGGAATGGCTGGTGAGCTTGAACCACCAGCCTTGCAGTTCAAACTGACCTTTCAGTCCAACTCAGTAACCCACAAGACTGCCACAGGCATAGAGGTTAGGATTTGAAATACATATTTGGGGCCCAAACAGTTCAATCCATAAAAGTAGTCAAATACTTATCTCTCTTGTTTTGTGCCATTTTTATAAATGACTGTTTACTCATCATATTTTGACAATAATTTACTTCATTGTATAGGGATAAAAGTATTTTGTTACCTCCTTAATAAATTCTGCTCACAAAAATGTTTTGAAATGTTGTAATAAACGGCCTTTAGGATTATCTGGATCGTTTAAAAATCATTCTAGCACATTTCTGGGTTTAATATTATATAGAGAAAAGAGGCGTTCTGCTCCCATAAAGATTTATTTACAGCCTCGGAAACCCTATGCATGGTCACTATGAGTTGGAACCGACTCCACGGTACTTAACAACAACAACATAGAGAAAAGATTTCTATTTATACCTTCTTAACTCATAGCAGGTTCTCTAAGTCTTGAACTGATTTAGTAGATGATTTAATTGCCTTATTCCACATTGCCATGATATCAAAAAATCTTTTTTTTTTTTTTCCTTTGTTATCATGAAATTTAAACTTCCCTTTTCTCTTGTTTTTGTGGTTGAAAGATCCTTTAGGCCTTTCTTGAATTCGGTCACTCATTGAAAAATGAGGTTATTCCCTTTTTTTCTTCTTTGTTTGCCCAAACAAAATAGAGAGATAAAATCTAAAATGCACTCACAGAACATAGTTCATTTTTAGCTCCACATCAAAAACTATGAAATAATTCAGAAGTATTTTCATGCAAAATAATTTAGCCAAAAACTATCCTTTAACCTTCAAATAGTTTGTGAGGCTCAACAAAAGAACTCTTGAAAGTTCTTGAGAAGAATGAAGAGTTTATCCTTTTAAAAATATCTTTCATGAAGTAAGGGGAAAGAATCCCAGGCTAGGGAAATAATAAAAAAAAATTTTAATGGACAGACTGTATTCTCACCTCCTCAAAGACAACCACAGTTAATTCAGATAAATTTCAAACTAGCAGTCTATCCAAAAATTAAACATATTATCTGTAATGCATAAGATCACTGCATACTATTCTACAACTTGATTAATAAAAACTTGTGTAAAATAATGTTATATCCATTTAGCATTGTTTGAAAACACAAAGGTGATAAAAATACATGTCTTAATGTAATCAAAATGATAGTTTGGCTGGTGGTAGGTATGTGCTGTGGAGTCAATTCCAACTCAGCGACCCTCTATAGGGTTTCTGAGGCTGTAAATCTTTACAGGAGCAGAAAGCTTAATGTTTCACCCACGGAATAGCTGATAGATTTGAACTGTTGACCCAGAGATTAACGAGAGCTCCTTGATATTTAGTTTACTGCTTGGTAAATGTTGGTAACAATGTAACTCACAACCCACTGCCATGGAGTTGATTCAGAAACATAGTGAGCCAGTAGTAGAGCTGCTCCTTAGTGTTTCCAAGACAGTAAATCTTTACAAGGAGCAGATAGATATCCTGCTCTCTCTCTCTGAGGAGTGACAGGTGAGCTTGAACTGTCTAATTTGTTAGCTGCCCAGTGATTAACACACTGCAGCACCAAGGATCCCTAGTAGCAATATAAAGGTATTAGAAATGTATATTTCTAATTATAATGGTGAAAATAACTGGAAAAAAAAATTCCATTAGTTTTTCACAGCATTCATGTATATTTGTATGTTTCTTTCAGGACTGGTGGTTGGATTTATCCTAAGTATTGCAAATTTCAGCTTTTTTACCTCTTTGCTGATGTTTTTCGTTTCTTCTTCGAAACTCACTAAATGGAAGGGAGAAATAAAGAAGCTTATAGATTCAGAATATAAAGAAGGTAAAATGAATTATAGTTGGCATTATTTGAAATAATAAGCTTTGTTTCATTCTAACATGAAAGTGTTGATTAGTGTTTAGACTATTAAAACAGATATATTTTACGTGAGACTTATATTAAGTACATTTAATCACATAACACGTAACAACAGAATTTTAAAAACATTAAGGCCTATCATTAATTATTTTTTATTAATCAAAAACTGTATTTGTGGACAAAGGTGTCAAACTAATTTCAATATATGTTTTTCTATTTTAGTCATTTAAAAAATTTTTAAAGCATAGGTGCATGTGACTACATGGTTTTTCTTCTGACCAGAAAGCATTTCTTATATGTTTTGTCTGTTTGATTATTTCTAGGTGGGCAGAGGAATTGGGTCCAGGTGTTCTGTAATGGTGCTGTACCCACTGAGCTGGCTCTGCTGTACATGATAGAAAATGGCCCTGGAGAAATCCCAATAGACTTTTCCAAGCACTACACTGCTTCTTGGATGTGTCTATCTCTCCTGGCTGCACTCGCTTGTTCTGCTGGAGACACATGGGCCTCAGAAATTGCCCCCGTTCTGAGTAAAAGCTCTCCAAGACTGATAACAACCTGGAAGAAAGTTCCAGTTGGTGAGTCCTTAAAAAAACAAAAATAATAAGCTTCTTGTGTATGTTATTAGGTGTGCTCTAAGAACTTTAGTTGGTCTCCTTTACTGGAAAAGTCTAAATGCTATTAAATTACTGGTAATAAATAATATTTGTAAGAAATGCTAATAATTTCTAGATAATCAGTACAAGAACAGACTTTCCAGACAAGATAGCAGAGTAAGAAGACAGTGAGCAGACCCTCTGCAACAAGGGCATGGGAGTCAAAGTGAAACAGACAATAGATAGGAATCCTGGAAGCTGAGCCTCAGAGAAAAGGATGGAAAGGTAAATTGAGTGCCGACTGGAAGAGGAAACAGAGCAAGAATGGCCAGAGAGGAGTTAGAAAGGTGACCTGGAGCAGCATGGCCATCTTGAGTTTTTGCAGGAGGGCTGCTGGTACAGGCACCTGGTGGTTGGCAATAAATGGAGTGCAGTTCTCCCTCTTACCCTGTACCCTCCTCATGGCACGGGCATGACCAGTCCCCTCCCTCCCTCATCCAGCAACCAACGGCATCCCCTCCTGTGCCTCTGTTCTGCTTTGGAGTCAGGAGCCAAGTGTACCACCAATGTTTGGAGGTGCATGAACACACCCTGAACTTTGCTATAAAACAGCAAACAGAACTGCATACATATTTGAAGTCTCTATCACATGTACCAAGAGGCAGATGGTTGAGTGCCTGAGAACACACAACATGCAGTCAATTAAATGTAAACACACCACCACCATAATGTTTCAGAGTAAACAGAGTTTCAGTTTACACAAAGAAACAAGACAGAGTGTCTCAAACAAGTGACAAAGTCAGAAAATATAATAACCATAAATGGTATCGGAACTATCTCATAAGGAGTTTTAAAGAATACTTCAGTAGATTGAGAGAATGATAGAGAAAACTGTAGATGAAATCTAGGATAACAGACAAAATTTTAGAAGAATTCAGGAAAATACTACAAGAGCAAATTGACAGGAGGCGTGGCTTGATGGCGGCTAGGATGGAGGTGCAGTTAAGTTCGCCATCAGCAATACCACAGAATACCTAGCAAAGCAGATCCATGGCAGAGCTCCAAAACTCAGAACCACATATGTACGAATATTTTAAAAGTTTGAAAGCTTATAGCTAGTGGAACTTGAGAGGGAAGTAAGAAATCGCGTACTTTTGAACCTGCGGGACTTGGCAGCCTGGGCCGACAACTTGGGCAAGACCAAGCAGGAGAGCAGACACACCACGGAGAAATGCCAAGGGAACCTCAGAACAAAGGTGGACAATACACTTTGTCGGTTTTGCTTTGTTCTGATTTTCTTTTCTTTTTTTTTTTTCATATCTGCATTGGGCCCCCACCCACCCCACTGTTTGCTCACCTGCATTCTGGTGACTAGAAGGGGTGCCTGAGCGAGTGGACACCCCCTACCCTCACCACTGGTGTGCTTTTCTGCCACGCATGCGCACAGGTAGTCTCAGCCCAAAAGCTGGCCTGGAACTGATGTTTGTTTTTATTTTAAAATATGAGAAAGGCCCGGACATGGGTGTAGAGAGGGAAACAGAGTTTAAAAACAAAATGGGCCGAAAATGAAATTAAATCCTGAGGTACAGCATAATAAGCAACGGTGGCATTTTGAAATCTCTCAGGCAGCTTTGAAAGCAAGGAGCTGAAGAGAGGACATTAAAGTCATACTCATATTGGTGGTTGTGGTTGTGTGCCGTGGAGTCATTTCGACTCATAGTGACCCCATACAGGGTTTCCAAGGCTGTAAATCTTTATGGGAGCAGAAAGCCTCATCTTTCTCCCGCGGAACAGCTGGTAGTTTCAAACTGCTGACCTTGAGGTCCGCAGCCCAGATTGTAACCACTACGGCTACCAGAGCTCCTTATACTCAGATTAGGCTGCAGATTTTTTTTTTCCTTCTCTCCCTCCTCTCCCTTTTCTGCGATTATAGACTACAGTATTCAGTCTCATTTTGTTTTTTAGTTGTTGTTGTTTTGTTTTGTTTTTCCTTGTTTGTTTGTTTGTTTTTTGCTGGTGTTGTTTTATGCTCCCCCTTCTACCTTTGGGTGACTCTTTCGCTCCCTATATTACCCAAGAAGAGACAGCAACTGCTGCCATATAGTCAAGCTACAATCACACTCTATAAAAGACCAAAACCAAGGCAAGAACCAATACCAACTGCCATATACCAGGGAGGCAGACAACACCTATGAAAGTTACTCTTAGTTAAGCAATAAGAAGAGTGAAAAGGGAAGCCCACATGTGATCACATCTATCTGGAAGTAATCAGAAAGCATAAATAATACCAAAACATGTAATTAAGTATTATGGCCACAAATAAACACTAAACATGTCCAAGAAGCAAAAGCAGATGACCATATCAGCACATGTCCAAAAACAAGATATAATGTCTGAGACAAATGACCTAGAAGTAAACCTGAACTACGTTCTGGAAGGAAGGTAGACCTTGGAAATGCCTGAGAAGGAATTCAGAAAAGTGATTATAAAATGTTTTAAAATGGAATTGAGAAAAATAAGGAAGAATTCAAGAAAGCACTACAGGAAAAATCAAATAAGAGAGATACAGCATTGGAGACCATTCAAAACCTACAGAAGGAGGTCCAAACAATCAATAATAGAACATCAGAGATAGACAGTACTCTAAAAGGGCAAAGGAGTAGAATAGAAGAGATGGAAGGCAGAACCAGTGAGCTGGAAGACAAATCTCTCAATACCACTAAGATACAAGAGCAAACAAAAAAAAGGATTTAAAAAATTTGAAGAAAGTCTAAGATTCATGTTGAATAACTTGAAGAGGAATAACTTAAGAATTATTGGCATTCCAGAAAAAGAAGAATCACACAAGTCCACAGGGGAAATAGTTGTTGAAGAACTGCTGGAAGAAAATTTCTCTAACATCCTGGAAACTGAAAAGATAAACATTCAAGAAGCTCAGCGATCCCCAGGAAGGATAAACCCCTAAAGAAAATCACTGAGACATATCATAATGAATCTCTACAAAATCAAACGTAAAGAGACACTCCTGAAAGCATCTAGGGAAAACAGAAGTGTTACATACAAAGGCAAGTAAGTCAGATTAAGCTCAGCTCTCTCAGCAGAAACCATGCAAGCAAGAAGGAAATGGGGAGACATATATAAAACCCTGAAAGAAAAAACTTGCCAACCAAGAATCCTTTATCCAGCAAAGCTATCAGTCAAATACAATGGTGTAATCAAAACATTCCAGGATAAACAGAAATTAAGGGACTTTGCCAAAGCCAACCCTGCACTACAAAACATCCTAAAGGGTGATAATGTGGACTGAGAAACAACAAGAACAGACATCAACCAGAGAATGACATACATGGTAGCACCTCCCAGAATTAACTTGACAGATGGAAGAGTGGAGAACAGAACAAAACTATAAGAACAAATTCAGAGAATCTGGGAAGCCAATCTATGATCAAAACAATTACAATGTAAAAGAAGGTAAACAGCATAGGAACAGAAATCCACATGGTGATAAGGTCAGGTAGATTACTGGATAAAATAGACTGCAGTAAATGGAGAGAAAAGTTAATGGACTATAAGGCAATCTAAAAGAAAATTAACACTTCACAACATACCAAGAAAATGAAAATCCAAGAAGAACATGGAAACATTAAAACTATGAGGAAACTCACAAGAAAGAACACAAAAGCATGAACTCAACAAAGGAAGACACAGAACAAAGAAAGTAGCAACAACACAAAAAAGTCAAACATAATGGCAGCAATTAATCCCCACCTATCAATAATTAAATTGAATGTAAATGGATTAAATGCACCAGTTAAGAGATGGAGGGTGGCAGAATGGATAAGAAAACAAGGTCTTTCAATATGCTGTCTGCAAGAGATACATCTATCAGAAAGACAAAAACAAAAGTCAAAGGATAGAAAAAAATATACCAAGCTAATTGCAATCAAAAAGGAATAGGAGTGGCAGTACTAATCTCTGATAGAGTAAAGTTTAAGGCAAAACCCAGCACAATAGATAAAGATGGACATTATCTCATGATTAAAGGGACTATTGAATAAGATGACATAACCATAATATCTATGCTCCCAATGAAAGAGCTGCAAAATATATAAAGCAAACTCTAATAGATTTGAAGAAAGGAATAGATGAATCTATAATAATAGTGATTTTAATACACCCCTTTCAAAAATAGATAGAAGAACCAGAAAGAAACTTGACAAAGACACAGAAGAACTAAACAACACAATGAGCCAACTGGACCTCATAGATACGTACAGAGCATTCAACCCAACAACAGCACAGTACACGTTCTTTTCCAGTGCACATGGAACATTTTTCCAGAATAGATCCTGTCTTAGGTGACAAAACAAATCTCTGTAAATTTACAAATATCAAAATACTACAATGCATCTTCTCAGACCACAGTGCAATCAAATTAGAAATCAACAATAG